AGATTTCCTATTTCCTACGGTGGCCTAGAGAAGAGTGCTGCTAACCCAGGGACCAGTAGGAACTCTGGTGACCTAATGGCAAGAAACTGTGCTGCAATCCAGAAGGCACATGGTTCAAATCCACCAGTTTCTCCACAGGAGAAGGATAGGCTCTTTCCTCCCCTACCAGGGGGTCAGCTATGGGTCAGTTCCCACTTGACAGTACCCAACAACAAGAAGAAATGGCTCTGCAGGGATATCTGGTACCCTAATGGCAGGAAGCTGTCCTGCAATCCCAAAGGAACATGGTTTGAATCCACTGTCTGCTCTGCAGGACAAGGATAGGCAATCTCTTCCTGTGCAATTAACTGCCTCTTAATACCTGCCAGAGGATCAGCTATATATATGGGTTGGTTCCAACTTGATGATATGCAACAACAACAACTCAAGTGGCTCTGTAGGTGAAAAATGGACAGTCTTTTGTGTGATTTACAGCCTTGGAAACCCAATGGAGGGTCAGCTTTGAATCAATTCATACTCAGTGGCAGTGAGACTATCCTTGATTCAGTTTAGAGAATTTGTGTGTTTCCCAGCATTTATCTATATCATCTAGGTGAACAAATTCGGTTGAGTGCTATGATCCCCACAACAATAGAGAACACAGAGGGGAACATGGTGCTTGTATCTTTCAGGTTAGCCCTGTTTTCAGAAAAAAAAACACCCCAAAAACCAACAACAAAAAACAAACACAACCAAACCAACCAATTCTGTTATTTTTATGGCATAATATATGATGGCACAATTGTACTTCTCCTTTAAAATGCCATTATTTTTTCACTTGATAAAAATCACTTCTTGTATCAGACACTTGCCGGCAACCTGAAACTCTGGCAATCAATGGTTCTCATTTTGCAAACTGGCTTCCAAGCTTTGAAAAGTTTAAGCCGGTTTAACAAAAAGCAAGGAACATGGCATATTCTAGAAATGAGAAGATGAGTATTTCTGAACAGAAAGATACTAGATTATTTGCTCTGAGTATTTTAGAGGTAGAAGAAAATCTCAATCCAAGGGTGAGATAATATAAACTATAGCACAGAATACACAGAGGTAAAATTTCATGGTTTTCCTATGTGACTACTATTACCAAGAGAGGTTCTATTTAGGGTCTATAAATTTTTTTTTCTTCCTTTAAAATAACACTTTGAGCCAAGACATCATCAGTTCCAGGCTCAGTCAGTTCCAGTTGAAAGTGTGAATGTTCAGCAGGAGGATATTTTTGAAAGGAGACTGAAAATCTGCTTTGCCAGATACCTGAAATTTTGTTAGGGTATCCAGTGGAAAATTTCATTTCCACATTATAAATAACTGTAGGATATTTTAAGAGAACTGAGTAACTTCCAAGAGCTGCTTATGTTCCTTCCACTGAAATGTGAAATGGAGGAAGGATGCTGAGTGAGGCTATAAAACTAAATTACCGGATGCGATTAATTAAAATAAATAATCTCCCCATTGATTAAGTCACCTTGAAAACTCCTCATCAGTGTAAACGCCCATTGAGGCCTGCGTATTTTGCAATCTAAAACAACAGGCCTCTTGCAGTAAGACAAAGAAAGAATAAAATACTTAAAGCAAAAGAGAGAAAAGGTCCTCATGAGTATTATCAAATAATCAAACTATTTGATAATTTCTTATTTTAAAAAGTCCCTCTGGCATCCATATTGGAAATATTGTTATTCTTAACATCTTCAAATTTTCTGAATGTTCTCCGCTCTGTGTTCTTCTTGGGAGGGCAAGGATAACCCCAGAGAAGGCCACAAGGGTATGTCACCCACTATGATAGTTACAGAATCTCTATCTTCCTTTGGAGGAGTATATAACCCTTTCCAGTACCTCTTCTCCTCAGTAGCTCCCAGATTAAAAAAACACCACCAAAGGCAATTACAAGCCAGAGAATGAAATAAGGTGTCTCAAATAAAAGTGTTCTCTCAAAAGGCAAAGTAAAACAACAACAAAAATCCTCGCGTGTAAACTGTGTATCTGTGTTTTAAAGGTGCCAGTATGTGGATGTGTGTCTCAATGACTACACAAGGTAGGAGAGGTTTTGGGGTTTTTTTGATGAGGAAGCTTGGCTTCCCGACTTGGGTCTGCCGCCTGCGGCTGAGGAAGCAAGACCTGCGTGCACGCGTTTGATGAGACCGTGCCCGAGGTTAGAGCTCTCTCCTGTGACCAAAAAGATAATTAAAAATTGCACGCGCCGCAGACGGGGCTCAGCTCTTGCTGCGCGTTCAAGTTCATCGCGTTGAAGTGGGTCTTAAATATTTGGCGGCTCCAGGGCTGGTGTCTGCCAGGGAGGATGATTTGGGGAAGGGGTGTGAAGACTTGCTTCTTGGCTTCATTTGAGAGTGCAGTGGCCAGAGAGGCCTTGGGAAAGCGAGTGGGTGGGAAAGAAGGTCATTGTGAAGAGGCTCATATATGCAGGGGGATTTTAGGGATAGGAGGGAAAGTGGAGAGAAAAATAGGAAAGAGAAAGACAAGCAAAGGACAGGCAAGTTGAGTGAATGGGAGGAAAAGGCATGGTAAAAATAATATCCTACAGAGGAAGAATATAGAACTCCATCCTTTGCTGCGTGGGAGCGCACATCCTCCAGCCCCCGCGAAGCTCCAGTGGTCCCCAGCGCATCTCTCCACGGGGGCAGTCCTGCAGAGAAAAGTTCAAGACGCAAACACAGCCTGTCAAGTAATCTTTTATTTGAAGTCCGCTACAGGCAGCAGACACTCCTCTTGGGCACTCCCCTCCCCGCTTCCACACCCTCGAAGCCCTTCTAGGCCCCTTCAAAATGCGCGCGCTCCATGAGGGGTAGCCTACTTTAAAAACCGAAAGGAAGGGTCATCCCAGGATTCGACCGGGGGGGGGGGGAGATATTTGCACTGAGCTATAAAACACCTATTAATGGGTATGTGAGCGGTCTTAAATAAAAGGGGGCCGGTGAATGATGGCACAATTGTACTTCTCCTTTAAAATGCCATTATTTTTTCACTTGATAAAAATCACTTCTTGTATCAGATACTTGCCGGCAACCTGAAACTCTGGCAATCAATGGTTCTCATTTTGCAAACTGGCTTCCAAGCTTTGAAAAGTTTAAGCCGGTTTAACAAAAAGCAAGGAACAAGCCACGCAGCGGGAGAAACGGCCTCGTGCCCCCTTCTTGGGGGTACATACAATAGCCTCAAGCGGATTTCCCCGGCTTCTGCGGGCGCCGCACATTGTTTGATTTGTTTTGAAGGCTCAGAGTTTGAGGCTGGTCGGAGACACCCACGTGCTTCTGACTCTCATCAGCGTAATGATCGCCCTCGCCAGAGTCGTGTATATATAAACCACAAAAACCTAATCATTAGAAATCCCTGCCTCCAAAAACCACATTTTAGGTAAAATCTGCCGCTTTTTTTCGCGCTCCTTCATCCTCTCAACCGCAACTTTTTGGGGGATCCAAAGTCGCTTTTAAAACCCACATTGGGAAATAAATACATAAATAAACAGCCACTGAAGCAGTTTAAGGTTTTTTTTATTTAAATTTTCCCCCCTAGGAGCGGTGGGAAGATAGTTAAGGCACTAGAGGTAGTTTTAGATGCAGAATAGACTAAATAAAATCTAGAAATCCATAGAAAACGCGGAGTTTTATCCCAGCAAGAGTTTTTGCAACTTTTTTAGTCACCAAGCTAACAGTTTTAAAAACTCATCCTTTTTCTCTAGCGAGGGCATGCTAAAAAAGAAGTGTTCAGTCTCCCATTTGTGTATCTAAAACCCATTCTGACAAATGCTCCCTCCCCCACCCCCCGAGTTTTTGTGCCACTTAAGAAAAAAAAAAAAGTCCAAACTCAAACTCTGCAAGATTTGTCTTTCTCCCCCCGAGCTGCTCCGGCAGAAGTGGGGGTGGGGTGGGGTGGGGAGGGTGAAGAGAAGTCAGCACAGACGCTCAAGAATTTTCTTTCCTCCTCTCCTGAAGTTACAACGAAAAATAACGACAGGCAGATCAGCTCTCTGGAGTCTAAACTTCAATTTCGTCTGGCCAAGAGGGGTCCCTAGTCTCAGGGGCGGGGGCAAAAGGCCACAAGCAGGCAAGATCCCTCTAGAGTGGGGCCGCCTCCGTCTTAAGCTTCGGAAGCTGCGTGCAGCGTCCAGGGGGCTCCTTCTCGCGGCCGGCGGGCGGCGGCAGCGACTGCGATTCGCAGCCTTAAGATCCGCTGTCCTGAGTCCCGCTGCTCGCGACTTACCTCCGGACAGACACCTTGAAGCGCGAGGGGCCCTGGAGCCTTGCAAACAGCAGGAAGGGAGTGGATGCGAGAAGGTGGCGGTGAGAGAGCGAGAGGAAAGAAGGGACAGGAAGGAGCGGAGCCGGGGAGCCGGGCCGGCAGCCGCCGCGGGAGGAATCTGAGCGAGCAGCCCGCGCAGGGCGAGCGGCGGCCGCCGGGGAGGGGGGGGAGGCGGCGGCGAGGGCGGGCGGCGGCGCGGCCGCCTACAGCTGGGCAGCTGCGAGGCGGTGGAGGACGGCGCGCTGCTATGTGGGCTCCGGGGCTGCACTTCTGAATCCACTCACTGCACTCCAGCCACCGCCGGACTCGAACTGGGAGGGGGCGTCTGCGCACCCAGGACACGGTGCCCTAGGGGACCCCACTGCAACTCAAGCTTCTCCCGCCTCTCCGGGCCAACGCATCCCCACGCCCGTCCGCAGCTGCCACCTGGGAGTTTCAAAGGCTCTGGCAAAGACCTGTGCCTTTTGGGTCTCCCTCCCTGCTCGCCAAGCCGACTGCTACGCTACGACTTTGTCCCCGTCAAACTCGGGCCGCCAGTCGGCTCCATCGAACTTGATCTCTCACCTCCTCAGCCCCATCACCTCCATCCCTTTTCCCCCATCTCGCCTCCACCCCCCCAATTTCCTCCTCCTCGCCCCTCATTTCCACCCTCCTCCCCCTCCCTCGGCCACTTCGCTAACTTGTGGCTGTTGTGATGCGTATTCCCGTAGATCCGAGCACCAGCCGGCGCTTCAGCCCCCCCTCCAGCAGCCTGCAGCCCGGCAAGATGAGCGACGTGAGCCCGGTGGTGTCTGCGCAACAGCAGCAGCAGCAGCAACAGCAGCAACAGCAGCAGCAACAGCAGCAGCAGCAGCAGGAGGCGGCGGCGGCGGCGGCGGCGGCGGCGGCAGCGGCAGCAGCGGCGGCAGCCGCGGTCCCTCGGTTGCGGCCACCGCACGACAACCGCACCATGGTGGAGATTATCGCCGACCACCCAGCCGAACTCGTCCGCACCGACAGCCCCAACTTCCTGTGCTCCGTGCTGCCCTCGCACTGGCGCTGCAACAAGACGCTGCCCGTGGCCTTCAAGGTAAGAGGCTCTAGCCATCACCCCCGCTCCCGGCCCTTCGCCGCGGGGACCTACTCGCGGTGCTCCAAACTCGCCTGGGCAGGGGCTCTGATGACACCCCCAACCCCGGCCTCCTGTCTTGGCGGGTCTCACTCGAGGCACCCCGGCTGACTCTGATTCCCGTGGCGTGCACGGGGTGCAGATCTGGCTTCACGCTGCACAAACCTGGCTTCCTTCACCCACCTGTGACTGCAGCCTAACTCTAGCCACTGTCCCCTTTTGCCTAAATGGTACCCCTCAAGCGTCCTGGCCTCTGTTCCACCCCACTCCCCTGAGCCGTCTCCCGTCTCTTTTGGAGCCCCCAGATGCCCACTCTGCGCCTTCACCCTGATTTGCTCACCCCGCCCCCTTCACCGGGGGCCAGATCCTGACACTTTGCCTCTGGACCCCCTTACCCCTTTCTGGGTAACCCAGCCGACCTTTCACAGCAAGTTGTGCGCGCTGTTTCTCCGCGGGATCCCATGCTCTCGCATTCCCATCCCTTCTTATCCTATTCCCTCGTTCCTCCCCTGGTTTCTGTGTTCCCTCTAACTTTCTGGAGCCCTAGCGTCCCCGGTCCCTCTCGGGCTCGGGGCTGGTATTCGCGGGGCATTTGCCCTGAGTTAACGCCTGGGGCGGGGTGCGGGTAGCCAGTGAAGGCGCGCAGGCCCCAGCCGCGGTGTCCTGAAGGGTCTGGGGGCAAAGCTGGAGATCTGGGGAGTCAAGGGATTGCCAGACCCGGGCATTTGCTCAGTTCGCTGACCCAGGCGGGATCCGTTACCGGTGAGGAAGGCGGGGCCGCCCCTGGCCCCAAGGCGGGAGCTCCGGGTCCCGGTGCGGGACCCCGAGTGCCAGCGGTCGCGGGTCGGGGGCGGGGGCGGGAGCTCAGGCCGCCTCTTCCCGCCTGGGCTGCACTCCCCGCCTCGCCCCTCTTGGAAGGGTTGAGGGAAACCTGTGCAACTTCTTTGGTTTGCCAGGCTTGAAAACGGAGGTGACATTTTGCAGATATGCTTTATTACTAAGTTCTGAAATGCCAGCAAGTCATTCCGCCCCTCCCTCCAGCTTCTCAAAGATAGTGGTTGGCTCCTGGCCGTGGTGGCGTGGGCGCCGAGCGAGCGACCCCGGGGGGCCTAAGAGTGGCCGCTGGGCGCCTTGCGGCCTCCTCAAGCCCAGATGGCCCGTTAGTTTGAGGTTGGTGTCAGGGATGGAATTGCGGGCGCAGCTGGCTAGGCAGGTTGAGCGTGTAGGGTCCGCAGCCTCACGCAGAGTCCTAAGAGTCTCCACTATAAAGTCCCAACTTCCCTGGGCAGCTCTCGCCAGGGGGAGACGCGGAGCCCCCAAGGCCAGGCGCTCACAGAGCTGAAAGGGAAAAGGGTTATCGGATTGTCCAAACGCCCAAGACTGGACTCCAGGGATGGAGCAGGAGTTTAGACCTGAGAAAAAGCATTTTTTTTTTTTTTTTTAAAGATGCTGCTGACCCTCTTTCAGTAAGTGTGAGGAGGTGGACTTGGGTCCCTTGAGCACTAGGTCTATGGAGAAAGAGATAAGCAGGGCCTTGGGGGAAGGCAAAAATAAGAAAAAAGGAATTGTGCCAACTCCTTCATTGTGGACCTTGGGGCCAAACTCCCACGGGCCACTGGCGGTTCTTAGTTGTTGATCACACATCCCCCCCACACCCCCCACGCACCCATTCCGATTCGGTGTGTGGGAGGGGTGGAAAGAAAGAGGAGCTGGGGCAATTAGAGCTGGTTATCTCGCTAGTTCTTCTATCAGAACAGAAATCTGAATGAATTGTTATGGAAAGGGGATGTTGCATTCTGGGGCAAGTTTCATTTTGCAGTTTGGCTAACAATTATGTATATGTGTGTGCATGAATGTGTGTGTGTGTGTGTGTGCGCGCGCGCGCTTGGGAGTGTGCCTTTTAACCGTCACATTTCTCCTTTCATAAGTCGACCATTTTTTAGGTTGATGTTTTCTGCCTTGAAATAGGAAAAGCTCAGAATACGTTTCAATTTACCCGCAAGAGGGTATTTTTTGCAATGTTTATTGTCCAAGGACCCCCAAATTTCTAAATGAGACTTGTATGGAAGGATGGAAATTTGGTTTTCCCATACATAAAAGAAAACATCTGGGTAAAACAAAGACTTCAGATAAAGTTATTTTGTTAAGACAATGAAATGACACAGTCAGGTTATAAGGATACAAATCCGCCTTTTTAAAGTTATAATTTAGATGTCTGCTGCTCGGAATACTGTTTTGCCTGCTAAATATGTTTAAAATATAACTTTCCTGAACTATTCTCTTAAACTTAAATGGTACAGAATTGATATTGAGCAAGAGCATTTTAAATGTAAAGATTTTTTGTTTCTTCTCCTTTTGATAAGAGGATAAAATGAAGTTTAATTTGAGATGTTTTGTCCTCAGATATTTTGGCTATTCAGGTTTTCTCACTGTCATCCTATTAAATTACTTGAAAAAAAATTGCTTTGTTTACTGTTAGTCATACTGACTATTAATTACCCAGTGTACTTTTACGCCATAAATAAAACCATCGAGAATGAGTAGCTATATTAAATGGTGTATTTTCGTTCATATTAATGGAATTAACTTAAAACTTGACCTTTCCCTGCTCTCACATAAGTTTTTAAATGAAATAGTGAATGAAAACTAGGGTCCACTCAATATAGAAGTTTTTTTCTCTCTGCTGAAAAAAAAAAGGTATAGATACTTGGGTCATCCAGAGTTTGACAACAGTTTTTATTGTTTTCATCTGAATGTTGGAAAACAACCTCTCTTTACCTTGCATTCCGGGTAATTGCCTGAGAGCAGTAGACTGCACTGTTACTGCATAATCAAATACATCTGTAATAAAAAAAATAATATAAAGAAGTCTCAGTTTCAAAAGTGGTGACAGCGATTTGGCCATCATATTTAGAGCGATGTATGAAAGACATTTTAGTGCTGTTGAGTAGATAACAGGTACATTTTAAAACAAACAAACACAACATACAGAACTTCAATGTTGAAAAGTTTGGCATTTAAATCAATATGATAGCTACTGAACCCATATTTTATGCCTGTGACACTGAGCTATAGTGATTGGTAATGAATTCATTAGTTGGTATGTTTTGAGAAATTAATTTGAGATAGGGTTTCACTATGATAGGGACAATGTCTTGTATTAAGACATAAGTAGATTAGAATTACTCATCTGACCTTGTTTTGAGATTTCATAAAAAGACTTAATTCATTTTTACTGACTTGAATTGCATTATACTGATGTAAAATACTACACCAACTCATACAGTTTAAAAATATGTAAACTAGTTTATTAGTGTTGTATTTTTAACAAGATCTGGTCTATAGTTTTGAGATACTCAGTTCCCCCAGGTGTCAAGGAAATAGAAATAGATATTTTTAACATTTTTTTTTCAGGTGTAACTCAGTGACAGCTTAAAATAGTTAAGGTACACTATTAGAGGATCCCAGATCCTAGATGATCCTAGTGACAAACAAGCAATTTGCAAATTCAGTTCATTGGTTGATGGTCAAATAGTAATAGTGGCGAAAACATGTTAACCCAGCATCCAGAAGCACCACAAGAGTCTGTCAGTATTTCCACTCTGAAGCCTGGTGTTCAGGATGCACAACCCAGTTGCTTTAAATAGCTTCAAGCTGAAACACTGTGCAGAAATTTTAAGTCCAGATGTACATTTTAAAACTAAAAGTAGTGCAAGTCTGTTGTGCTGTTTTAAGTTATAAAACAGTGAGTTAATACACACACACACACACACACACACACACACACACACACTCACACACACTCTCACACACCAGTATCATGTGTTTTTCTGGCAATGTTAAAAAAGAAACCCCACTTTTAAATATGTATTAAACTTACTGAGGATATATGTATAAATATATATATATATATACACCTTAGTGACACAATTTTTAAGTGATTGACTACTAACCAAGGGGTAAGCAGTTAGAATCCACAATAATTTTGCTGGAGACAGCTGTGCCAGTTTGCTTCTCTGATGTCTTGCAGACTTAGACACCCTATGGGTTTTTATACTCTGTTGAATAAGGTATCAGTGAGTTGAAATATGTCTGAAGGAAATGGCTTTGGACTTTCCAAAAAATTATTCAACTTGATAAAATCTTATTAAACTAATATGAATTGTTATGTCAAATGATGAAAATGATAAAAAGTTATGCAAATGATAATAGATTTCATGTTTTACAAAGGCAAATTTTTATGTTACACTTCTAATAAAAAATTTAAGATTGAGTAGGGATAACTGACAAATATGTTTACATGGGAAATATTTAACATTTTTAATACAAAATATGTATTTGAAGACAACTAGAATATATATTGCTCAGTTTACCCCCTAGGAATTGGTATTTGTATTCTTTAAAAATTCTACTGTGAGATTATCTAAATCAGCTCCATAATTGGAATAAACTATCAAAATTTACTTCTTTGATACACATTTTGAACTTCATAAAAAATACATTTTATTCCCCCCGCGTGTATTTTTATTAAATTTTCCTAAACTTGGGGTAAAAGTTTAAAAATTACATGTACTATTTGTTGAAATTTTAAAAAAAGAACATTTATGAGTTGAAAATTATTTTAAAATCATTACTATAGAATAGAATATTTGCCTTTTTTGCAATCACGATCTCACCTTTCTAGTGAATACGAGGATTTGGTTTGATTCTGTCTTTAAAAGTAATTATATTTCAATTATACTCTAAGTACAAAGTGCCCAATGACATTGGCCTGCAAGAGTTATTGATTAGTTAAGACTAGCATTCTGTCCATGGCAATGCCATAGACATTTTAACTTCTGTATTCTAAGACTACAGAACATTTTAAGGGTCTAAGTTAATTCTCCATTGCTTCTCTTTTACAGTACTTCCCAGTTACACTCATAAGGAGTCTCATACAAAATTTCAATAGAGCTTCTAGAGTTAAAGATCCTTTTAGTTTATTTTATACAAGCTGTCGTGTGGTCCAGATACTGGTTATAGTGAGTTGTACTGAGTTAAGCACCTTCTTTCTCTATTCTTAGGTGTCAGGACAGGAAATGATTTCCCATTCACCTGATGTGTCTTGAATTTGTAGATTTAATATTTTAAGAACACCTAGAAATTTAATTGTTCGGTTTCATCACATATTACTCTATAGAATAATATAGTATTTTTTTACTAGGTGATACAAATTTCAGTTTTAATTCATGCTTATTCCTAATAGTTAAACAGGTTCCCCTCCTCCCCTCCACCTTAACTATTGTTTTCTAAATTGTAAAACTTTCCCCCCACCTCTCCCCCCATTGATTTCTTGGGTTTGGTGCAGATGAAATGTGAAAAATTTGTTGGTTTTTTTTTTTAACTTTTTAGATAAACACAGTTGAGGATATTCAAGGGAAACATTTTTAGCCTCAGAGATTTTTTTAAAAAATTAATCTTCAAACATATAATTATACTTTAGAATTACATAAAGGAAAATGCAGTACAACTGTGTCCCTTTTTATTTTCTTCAGGAAAATATTGAGCAGTCTCACTTGACAGAGTAAATAGAAGGGGAAAATCTTATATACTTAGCAATTAAAATAAAGTTCAGCCATAACAGAAGAGACAACATGGTGTTAGTTAGCAGTTTTTTTAAAAAGGCCATCTTTTAAGCTTCATGGAAGGCTCATACAATTTGTGATTGTCTACTTCTTTTGTTATTAAATGTAATACGTAAAACATACCAGTATTTAATATAGCCATTATTATACTGCTTAAGCAAAATAAAATGAATTTATGTATTTTACTCTTAGGGACTCTTTCCTTTCATATTTTCCCATATTGAACCAATTTTCCTTTTCTTCGAACTGAAAAATATCCATTATGTTAAAAATATGCAGTAAAATAATAATAATGTCCCAGAGCTCTTGAAAACTTTTATAATAGGACGAATTTCTTTGTTTTTTTTCTGAATTCTAGCCATACTCGAGTGAAACCCAGCAATCATCCTGGATCTGTCTAGCACCACCAGAGAACATCTCAGGACATGAAGTGAACAATTACATGTCAAACTGAAACCTTTGGCAGGGATTAAAAATAAAATTCCATGCTTAAAATGAGTGAAAGCGCAGGCAATACATAATAAAGCATGACCAGGAGAACACTAAATAAAGGGGGAAGATACAGAGAGGTAAAAATAAAGGAAAAAGAGTCTGTGTTTAATATACAGCCAACTTTGAGCTGAATAAACACTATTTGGCTTCCTGGTCTTAAAAAGTACACCATTCCATTTATACTCTTCCATTATGAAGTATCTTATACATTTTAAAGATTTTTTAAAGTAGTATTATTTCTAATATATGTTGTAAAACTTGTTTCTAGAGAGGAAGTTTCTTATACAAGTTCATAGTAGATACCTAATAGAAGCAAAGAAGTGGTAAAAAAAGAGAATAAAAAAGTAGGCCCTTAAATTTTTTTCATTTATTGTCTTTTAAAAGGCGCAAATTTTCTTCTGCTTTCGTTGTTATGCTTATTGGTTACTTATTCAGTTTGACACAGAACGCCACACAGCAGGTGTTAGAATACAATATGCAGAGTGTACAAAATGCCAAAGTTTCAAATGAATACTGGCAAGCATAGTTATTTTGGCATTTCCAAATGTTCACATTTTTTGTAAATATGCAATTGAAATACTGTCCTAAAAGGCACATTGCTTCCATTAGGAATACCCATACCCCATTGCCATCAAATCAAAGTCTGGCTCAGGGTGACTCTGTAGAACAGAAGAGAATTATGCCGTAGGGTTTCCAAGGCTGTACATCTTTGTGGAAGCTTATGGCCCCATCTTTCTCCTCTGAAAGGGCTGATGGGTTTGAACTGCTTGTCCATTTGATTAGCATTTGAGCACTTAGTAATTGCAACACGTGGGCTTCTTATCTGGAGTGTATCATTACTAATATTTAGTTCTCATTTGAGGTATTAATTAGTTCAAGTATTCAGGGTTGTTGGACTCTTGGGAGGAAGGCATGTTCTCAAGGGTTTATCTTTGATCTAGGAGACTTCTTGGATTGGAAAGAATAATTATACTACAGAAAAAGGATAGTTGGCATGATTCTTTCAACTGGAAAATTATCAGAAAAGTAATTTGAAGCCAGGACGCATTGTTATAGGAGATGCTAATTTAAACATAGCTAGTTTCTTCAGAGTTCTGGCTGGTAGACCCTAACTGCTGGGTGTGGTCTTTATGGATCTCTTCTATTTATTTATTTAGAAAGTATTTCTCAAGAACTTTGGGCTAGGCACTCTTCTGGGAGCGAGGGACATATCAGTGAGCAAGACAGATGAAGACCCTTCCCTTCATAGGAAATCGTTGTCTCTACATTGTTATTGTTGCTGTGTGCTACGAAGTTGGAATCTACACACAGCTGCCCCTCCAGCAGTTTTTCAGAGGCAGTAAATCTCCAGGAAGCAAAATTGCTCATCCATCTCCCAAGAAGCCACTGGTGGATTAGAAAGGCATACCTTTGGGATTGCAGTGAAGCTTCTTACCACTAGGGCACCGGAGTCTCTCATCTGAACTCCTAGAAGTGAGTGCCTGGTCGGTCTAGCTGATAGTGTGTCGGAAGGTGTTTACGTTGTTATGTGCTGTGGAGTCAGAACCAACTCACAGCTGACGTGCTTTGGGTTTTCAGAGGCTGTAAAATGCACGGAAGGAGATTGGCTTATCTTTCTCTTGCGAAGCAACTGATGAATCAAAATTGCACACCTTGAATTGGCCACACAGTTCCTTAACTTTGAGGGCAAAAGAGCTCCCTAAAAAGTGTATGTAGATCATGAATATATGTACACTGAGATGAGGATACTGTAGAAGATGAGTGCTAGACTAATTCAAGGAATGCGTTATGATGTCTAGCTAAATGACAGAGTGCCAGAGGAAGGGATGAACTCACAAAACAGCCCAAAAGGAAAACAAAAGTGAAGAATTAACAAGCTTCTTGTTTGTTTGGTTGTTCTCCTGGCTACCGCAGAGGATTTAGTTGAGGGTACTGTTTAAGGTAGGTTGGTTTTATGGATGAGGGAAGCTCAGCCCTAAAATAAAACTATATAGTTGTATGTCATCAGTCAAATTAATTCTGACTCTGAGTGACCAGATGACAGAGCATTGCCCAATAGGGTTTTCTGCTGTGGAAGTAGAACATCCCTGGGCTGATGGTAGGTTTTAACTACACACCTTTCAGTTAGCAGCTGAGTGCATAACCATTGCATTACCAGGTTTCCTTAAAGTATTATGATCTTAGTATTGTTTTTTATTACACTGTAAAAAATTGCTTTAATGAGAGTATGTACAACATTTATTGGGAGCAGGGGATTAATGTTTAGGTTTACGTTTCTGAAAGTCTTGTCAGAGGAAGGAGCAGCTCTATTGAGGCAAGAAGGCTAGGTGGGTGTTTGCCATCCCCACAAGCAAACACAGGTGATGTCACAAAGCTGTGGGATATTCCAGCCGGCACCATTGCTTAGTTATTGTGAGAGCAGAGCATCTCTGAGGTGGAAGAGTTGGAAACAATCTGAATATATGTGAGCCTGGAAATGCATTGAGAGACAAAGTTGTTTTTAAGGGCCTTGGTAATGAATAGAAAATGGTAGGCTTCTATATGACAGTAAGGAGTTCAGGTGGCCCAGTGGCAAGAAGCTGCAGTGCAATCCTGAAGGCACACGGTTCGAGGCCTCCAGCTGCTCTGCGAGAGAAGGATGGGCAGTTTCCTCCCCTGCGATTAACAGCCTCTGAAAACCCGCAGGAGGGTCCGCTATGGGTCAGTTCTGACTTGATGGTACAGAACAACAGCCACAAAGATGACAGTGAAGGATCTTTGCCAACATTCCTTTTTTTGGGCACAAGTTGGCTACTGCTCTGAGTCCTGGTGACTCTCCATTAGGTTTCCAAGGCTGGAAATTGTAACAGGAGGAGATTGCCCTTCTTTGTTCTACAGAAATCTGGTGGGTTAGGGCCACAGCAGACACTTAGCCTTGGGGTTAGTAGTGCAACATGTTTTAGAGTAGGACACCAGAGTCCCTTGGGTTAAAATTGTAGTCCATATCTTTAGGATGATAATAAGAGCTTATTTCCCCTCAAGGATAAATTAATTGTACTCGTTACTTGATTGAATTAATCTGCTTCAGACTATTATATTAAAAAGGTAAAAAGATTGTGGGATAGCTAGATGTACAGTTACATACTTTCTATCAATATCACTCATTGATTATTTTCAGCTTGGTAGAGATATATCCTTACTCTGCCCCTAGACTTTAACCTTCTTGATAGCTTTGGATATTCCACTGGTCCTACTGCTGAGTAATTTGTAGTAAGATTACAGCTGAATATCGAGCTGAAAGTGTAGACAGATGCTAGTTCCACACACCACACTGTGTCTGGAGCTCCATGTTGTCAGGGACTTGACCAAGTCTCCTTACAAGTCTCCTTCCATACAACTGACCAGACTTTCTATCCTTTGGCCTGGATTTGGAGGAGACCACACTTCAGGGCTCTCCAGGCTGCAGATACACAATGCCTTAATACGTAGGATGCAATCTGCAGTTTTCCTTCTGTGGTCTGATTCCTATGGAAAACTCAACATGGGGATTTAATAAAAATGTACATGCATTCTATGAAGAATCTAACAACAAATGAAGGAAACATTCACCTGCTTTTGAAATGGGTGGACCCTAAAATGTTGGCCTGTTTGAAGTGGCATCATAGCCTATAAACAGATGCTTCATTTCTGACTGCCATTACTGGACTGGAACACTGAGTCCTGATAAGATACATTTTCATTGAGAATGTATTCTCAATTTATAAGCCTTTCTGATGTGCCATGTTTCTGATTGCTGCTGTGATTCCTGTCTTATGTAGGTGGTAGCCCTCGGAGAGGTACCAGATGGGACTGTGGTTACTGTCATGGCGGGTAATGATGAAAATTATTCTGCTGAGCTCCGAAATGCCTCTGCTGTCATGAAAAACCAAGTAGCAAGGTTCAACGATCTGAGATTTGTGGGCCGAAGTGGACGAGGTAGGTCTCTGATTTTAATATTGACAACAGTGTAAACAAATTTGGATCCTCTGATGAGATGTAGATTCGTTTATATACAAATCAGCATATTCTTTTTGGAGTAGAATTAGGAAAGATTTTATTTAAATATGCACAGATGAAAGTTGAATGTTTTTAAAAGTATTTAAGGTTTCCCCCCCACATGTTTTATGATGTTGAATATTAAAACAGGGTTTTAGAAAATCTAGTTTCTAATTTCATTAGATATGTTTGAATGAGGTAGAAGAAAAAGAGAAGTTGTGAGGAATATGTTATGAAATAACATAACTTGAATGGGAAAAATTATGAATGCTTTGGACCATGTTCCTGATAATATTAATTTATGTGAAGTTGTTGCAGGAACAATTAGCATGATGATCTTAATGGGCTCTTGTGTGTTGGGAAGTATGAGGATGACACAGGGTAGAACAGGGTTCAGATCTTTTATTCGTAGGATTGCTGAGTCATACTGAACTCAGCGACACCTAACAAAAACAACAACAACAACAACAACAATAACAACAACAACATTGCCTCCATATGTTAAGTTTACTCTCACAATAACAATTACTAAAATATCTTTTATGGACATTTTTAATGTGAATAAGTAGATAATATATTTCTTATGTTAGAAAGATTATTAGAGTTGCCTAGACAGATGAATGGTAGAACTCTTAAATATTTCTGCATGGTTAAGGTTTCTACCATCTGAAACCATGTTCAGATATTAGGAACACTTAAAAGGATCATAAAATAGAAAATAACCCCTTTTAGAGTTTCTCCAGGTGTTTTATCCATGGGATTAAGTTTTTTAAAAGTCTCTAAGGAAATAAATATTTTCATTTTTATCTACTTAATCTACAGAAGAAATATTAGTAATCATATATCTAATAGAAATATATTAACTTACTTACTGAATCTGTTGCTTCCATTTTAACTTATTCTCTAATTGGTGCCTTTGAATTGTGATATTGGAGAAGAGCACTGAATATCCCATGGACTGCTGAAAGAACAAACAGATATGTCTTGGGGAAAATGAAGCAAGAGTGCTTCTTGGAGGCAAAGATGGTGAAGCTTCATCTCACAGACTTGGGCATGTTTCTAGGAGAGGCAATTCTTTGCAAAGGGCCATCATGCTAGGAAAAGTGGAGGGTCAGTGAAGGAGAGGACGACCCTCAATGAGGTAGACTGACAAGGTGACAACAGCAATGGGCTCACACGTGTCAGAGATGATGAGGACAGTACAGAGTAGAACAAGGTTCAGACTCATTGCTTATTGGGTTGCTATGAGTCATATTAGACTTGATGACACCCATCAATGACAGCAAGTAAAAGATCCCAGGTTTCACAATGGTTAAGCACTTGACAGCTAGCCCCAAGTTTGGTAGTTTGAACCCACCAACTACTCCAAGTAAGAAAGAGCTAGCAGCCAGATTCTATAAAGATTACAACTTTGAAAGCCGTATGGGGCAATTCTGCTCTGTCTTATAGGATCTCTCAATATGTCAGAAGTGATGGCAATAAGTTCGGTGGGTTTGTTTTTTCCCCCCTTAAGAGAAAGACTATTGTAGGACTGAAGTGAAATACCTAAAAATATATAATTATGAGACATAATTATAAAATCCTATGGAATCACTACAACTCCCAGGTTTGCTTAGGAAATGAAAAACACTAGTTTTTAAAACAGGTCCAAATAATTGTTCTTGAGTTTGTATCAGATGTCAAATTATTACCATTGTAAAAAACTGATAAGGGGAATTCAAGCAAGCCTGTTTCCGATGAGTAGTTTTAGTTTACTTTCTAGGAACAGGGCCAAGAAGTTGTTCTTTTTAGCTTAAAAAAAATGCATGCTAATGAGCTACTGTCACTGAAAAGTGGTTTGAAATAAAATGAGGCCCAGAGCCTTTGATAGAATGAAAACTAAGGAGATAGCACAGAAATTAGATGCACTTTGCTTTCAGGAAAAGAAAAAAAACAAAAAACAAAAATCCCCAACATATCCTATCTTATTATTGATTAATTGGGCTTTAGATATGTGTGTACATTAATTATATTTTCCCCCTCAGTAATTGGTGGGGGTCTACAGTACACTTGAAAGTTTTTCTTCTTTTTAGTGTCACTGAAGAAGAAAATTTAAACATAATGATTTACCTGTTGATCTGAATTCCAGCTATCCTCTTAATTACTATGATTTTATTTTTTTACTAGAATAATGACTGTTATTTTACTTTTGATTTGAGCAATATTTCAAGGATCAGGTACTTTTTTACTTTACAGATTCCAGCTAGTGTTTTCATTTATCTTGCTTTTATATTATATAGATGTTGCATACATTTTCTCTGATCAATCTGAGTAGAAGCTATGGCAAAGTGATAGTGTACTTTGTAAACCCTCAACATATTTATTTAAGAAACTTCAAAGAGAAACAAAGGGTGTGCACTGTTTTACTATATTGGCTTTCTGAGTTTTGGCTGGTTTCCCAAATAGCAATTTTTATATTTAAAAAAAAAAAAAAGACAGACTTAACTGCTTGCAGACTTTTCACGCATGGAAGATGAAGAAAGCTTCTTTTGATGAAGTGTAATTATGTCCAAACAGAGCTGACCCCCTCCCCCTATATTTCTTATGATCTTAACTGAAGAAAGTAGGATTTTTCCTTTGAAGCAGCTGGGACTTGGTGGAGGATCTGAAATGCTACAGTCTGCTGCCAGAGGCAGGATGGAGAAATTGGTCCAGACTTGTCTTCGAGACCTGAGTGGGGGTGGGGGCTAGAGAGAGGGTGGAGAGAGAAAGAAAAAATTGATTTATCACTAATGATAGACTTTTCTATTACTAATATAACCTTGCGTGAAAGGGAATGATAATGATATCAAGTTGAAATGAAGAGGAAAAAGGGACTGAGAACATTGATAAGAGATACCACCTGGGCGGGGCGGGGGGAGGGGGAGAGAAGGGGTCAGTATTTCAGTGGCAGGAAACTCTTTAACCTGCTTGTGTACCTGACCTGTTTTATAACAGATTCTTTCCAGCTTCCTCTTTGATTTTCACACTTCTACATTTCTCTTACATTATTAAGTCTGGATCAACATGCTGCTGCCATCATATTGCTTTCAGCTCTGGGTTTTTTTTCCCCTTTGTATTTTCAGTAGCATTTTAAAAAAAATGCCAAGTTCCACAAATGTTATGATTTTTTTCTTTTGATGGTAAAACTATATAAGCCCTTAGAAATAAAAAAAAATAGTCATATATGTAAAGGAGTCACATCCTCCTCACTTTGACTTTATGAGTTGTTTGATGAGTGAGCACAACTTGAAATGCTTTGGAACAAAAGGAGAGCATCAATGAAAATTGCATTAAGAGTAACTTAGGGTTTTTAATTGTCTTCTTTTTTCTTTATATTTTAAACAGAAATATTTAAAATTACTTGGCCTTTAGTTCTCTTGGTATGCTTGCTTTCTTTTGACATATATACTACTTCTCCCCCTTACAGAGCAGAACATAAAGCAATTCAACAGTTTATACATAAGTGATTTAGTGACATTAATTACATTATTTATATTGTGGAAATATTCTCACTCTCTTTTTGTGAACTTTCTCCTTCATTAATATAAACTCACTTCCCTCTAAGATTTCTAGTTTAATCTTTTGAGTTGCTCTTGTCAATTTGTTAAAAGAGTGTAATGCTCAAGGCAGACTTTTTTTACTAATTAAGTGAAACTGTTACTGTTTAGTTTTAAGAAGACTTCAGGAGATTTTTGTTTGCTTGTTGAAGATTTAAAAATTATTTCAGAACAATATATTTTAGAAGCTTATTCATTTTATGGCTGCAGAATGTCTATAGTCCATGACAATTAAAAATTCTGTTCTGTATGTTCCCTCTTTTGATCATGATCTATGCATGCTACTTTTAATTTACAGTCAGTCAGTTTAGGATATAATTCTTGTTTACCCCTCTGTCTCTTCCTAGAAACTCCTTAGAACAAGTTGGAATGACTACTAATGACAGTTCCCTATATCTAGATTAGAAAGTATATGACTTGCAAACATTCCATAAAATGAATTCCTAAGCAAAGCCATATATAATGCTGTTATCTATTGAGTGCTAGTTCCCCAAGTGAGAACATTCATTTTTAAGATTTAGAGACTATTATTATCATTTATGGATATTGATTTAAAAATTGAGAGTTGAAAAACGTCATTTTTTTTTTGTTTGACTTTTTTTGCTTGACAAAGCCATGGACACTCAAAGAGACATTTGAATTAGGAAATTCATTGTGATCATAAAGTAGAACCAATTACCCAGTTGTCTGATAGTCTCTGAGTGTTCCTCCAATATTACATTCATGTGTTTTTTCTAAAAGGGGGGGAAGGAGGGGAAGGAACATTTTGATTTTTTTAAAATATTGTTTAAAAATATCTTGATCATTAGGATTTTCTTTTTATAATACTTAATATTTAAATACTTGTTTCCTCCTCTTAAAAACCCCCCTCTTTACAAAGTATTTATAGAAAAACTGGTTCTGCAGTGAATATTTGGATGCTTTCTATTTGAAAGATCAACTTGTAATTATTTGCTCTTTGTTCCTACATCAAGTATCTCCTTGAGCTTAGAAGAAGCACAGATGACTTTTGAACATTCTAGTTAAATTATAAAGGGTTAAAATGAAAATATCTCCAGAGTAAGTTTAGATAAATTTATAGTCAAGCTTCAGAAGTTATTTAGAAATTCTAAAGATACTGGGACTCAGATCATTACTGTTGTTGCTATGTACTGTTAAGTTGGAATCTGCCAGTGTTAACCCTCCAGTGGGTTTTTAAAGGTCGTAAATTGCACAGGAGACAGCCTGTCTTTCTCCTTCAGAGCAGGTGGGGGATTTGAACTACCTGACTTGGGGGTGGCAGTACAACTCCTGATCCACTAGGCCACCAGAGCTCGCACAAAGTCACTTAGAAGTCCAAGTCCACTCACCATCCCCTACCAAGGATATTGCTAAAGGAACAGTGGATGTTCATTGGAAGGAGTCTTGCCTTCCATGCAGGAGACCTAGGTTCAATTCCTAGGTAATGCATCTCAAGCACCTCCTCCCACTGGAAGCTGTAGTCTTAGGGGGAGGCTAAACAGGTTTTAGTGGAGCTTCCAGACTAAGACAGACTAGAAAGACAGACCTGGAGATCTGTGCCCACGAAACCTCATGTTCTCCACCAGAGTTCAGTTGCTTAAACCAATCCAATATGTAATAGATGAAATATGATCCTTTAAAGATAAGATGTTTTAATGATCCTGCCCTATATATTACTGCTATACATCTAGAAATAAATCAACTACTAATTAAAAATAAAAGTCTAGGTTTAGATCCTGATTTTATCCTTGTTATTAAAGTGACCTTGAGTAAACGGCTAAGCCTTTCTGGGCTTGTTTCCTCATTTATAAAATTGGTCATGGTGGTGGAGTGGGGGGAAGAACGTGGGAAATTATAAACTCACAGAGGAGGAGTAAATGAGATTTGCCTAAGAAGTAGTTTTCACAGAATAGATTTCTAATCAGTAGAAACCATCTCTACTCCATCCCCCTTTTTTACTTCTGTCTTTTCCTACCCTCGTGTTTTTTTTTGGGGTTGTTGTTGTTGTTGGGGTGTGTGATGTGTGTGTGTTAAAGTTCTGTGGCCATGGGAAAGTATAGCCAACGAGACTTAAAACTATATATACTCAGTAACAAATGATGTGTGTCTTAAACAGATTTTAGGAACTTCCATGGTCTAGGTTGAAAAGAAAACTCACTCACTAGACTTGACAGCCAAAGACCTGTTCTACATTAAGCCTTGTATATAACCTGTTCCATATTAAGCTTTGAAAAGATTGCATTAAACTTTGTATTGCTACATACTGTCTAAGATTTGTGTTTTGATTTAATACCCTCGGCTTTCAGTAAGGGGTGGGGGGGAATATGTCTGATCAGAAAACATAGCAAAACAGAATGAGCTTTCTAAAAGGTCTCTTAGAAGAGCAGACCAAATGAGTGCTCTGGCCCGAGATTGCTGAATGTTTTATTGAGTCACTGTTTCACGCCCACCTTTTCCTGTCTTGTAACAGTTTGCAGTTTTGACTATCTGACATGACTAACCCTTGCAAATCTAACTGATTGCAACTGTCAGTGAGTCTGTGTAGCAGTCTGCTATCTTCTGGGGAAAGCAAGCACCCCAATCTGCTATTCAACTTTCCCCTGTCTTTCTCCCCCCTCCCATATTCATCGCCTGTAGATCATTAGTTTGCAGTATCAGTGCTATGACTCCAGAGAAGCTCACCCTTCTGTTAGCAGTGAAAATTCACATTTATATTGGGAGATGCCGTGTATGTTTAGCCAGAAATAAGTCCCTGTCAGGGAGTGCTTTCAAGATTTACCGGCAGGGATGTATGTCAGACGAGGGGTGAGCGGGGAGGAGAAAAACTTTGTTCCAGTAATGATGAAATCATCATCATACCACAGGCACATTAAGGCCAGGACAGGAGACACTGGCTCCTGTTAAAATGATTCCCATAAGAACTTTCCTCTTTCATCTTCTCATTGTAGTGCAGTTAAGCAAATGAAATGCTAAAGCCATGTGAAGTAAATAACATAATCAACAGTGATTTACTATTGTTCCCTCATGGGGTCGTGACCTAATCCTAAATAAAGGCTTCTAAAATTGTGGTTGGATGTGTTCCTGATGTGGGATAACACTGAAAGGCGGGGCTTCGAACCGGTTCATTCAGTTCAGCTCACTGCTGAGAATTTGCCTTTTCACCCCGCATATACAGAACCAAAACCTACATTTTAACAAGATTCCCAGGGTATTATTATTAATTTTTTTTTCCTGTCCTCACTCTCCTCCTACATTTTGAGTTTTATTCTTGGGCATTTGCTGCCCTGTGATCCTGCGTGGTTGGTGGGTTAAGGTCTGAGCATCTTCCTGGTGCTGGAGTTTACCTTATAGATCTGTTGTTTGACAGTAAATTGTACCACAGGGAGAAATTCAGTCTCAGGCTCAAAGGACACGTAAGGGTTGTAATCTCAGCAGTCCCACCATCTCCTTCTGACCAGTAAGACTGGCCGTTACTGCAGTCTTTAGTTCTGTCCTTGCTTTCTCACGTCCTTATATAGGACCCCTCTAGTGGGATCCCTTTCCAGTGGTGAGCAGTAGCCAGGCACCATCTAGTTCATCTGGTTTCAGGATCATGTGTCCTGGGAGGTGCACAGGCTGCGTTCTGTGGATGAACTGCTTTGTTCATCTGTCTTAGCTGGACTTCTTTCTTCTTTGTTCTAAAACAGCAGATACCAGTGATTCTTGTGTGTACTTGAGAATTACCTGGGACTCCAGAAGACTCATCTGGGGAATCTTGTTAAAATATTGATTCTGATTCTGTCTGTATGGAATCCTCACCTGGGGATGAATCTGGGAGACTTTAGAGAATCTGTTTAGAGTATAGATACTAATTCAGTTTGTTTAGGGTGCAATTGCAAATTATTGACAGGGCAGTGCACCTACCTTTGAGTTTAATAATTATCTAAACAGATTCCCAAAGTTTCCAATTAGAATAAGGAGTTCTGTGTCTATTTCATATGCTGTTATGTAATCACCAATACTAACACTATATGTGTAATAGACAATGCAGTGTTCTTTCATATTCACAATGGATTTCCCCCATTTTACATTTACAGGCAAGAGTTTCACCTTGACCATAACCGTCTTCACAAATCCTCCCCAAGTAGCCACCTATCACAGAGCTATTAAAGTAACCGTGGATGGACCTCGGGAACCCAGAAGTAAGTCTTTGCCTTCTTACTGTAAATGCCAATAGAATTTGCGGAGTCAGTGTTACTGCCATAGAAGTAATTGTTTTGCCAAGTTTGCTATTTACATATAACTGTGGTGAGAGCCTCATAATAGGAAAGAAAATTCCAGGCAGTCCCAGTTAATAAACAAGATGTGCTCTTAAGTGTGTGTTTAAGTTACATTTGTAGGTAAGTTGGAACAGGTGCATAAAGGTCTTACTTAGCCTTAATTAAGTACAAGAAAAGGCTCAAAGTCTTTACAGCGATTTAAAAGTGGCACATGCACCTACACTGGTGACTGAAGAATTTGTTGCAAGGAGGGTTAGGTTGAGGCATTTCAAACTAATGGTAAATTTACATAACATTAAAGAGCAAGTATGTGTTGAACTTTCTCTGTAATTTTGACCTTTACCACAAGCTTGCTAAGGCCGCCATAACTTTGGGAAACCAGTGGATGGTGATTCAGTCACTCTTAACTCTTTAGAAGAAATTCTGCTCATCAACTATTCACAGTAGGGCTGAAGAGGCCCATGAGAGCTGAGGAGGAAAACAATAAACGTAAAAATCTTGAGCTTAGTCAAAAAGCATTTGCCTGTGTTTCCCATGGCCTAAGAATGTGTTTTAACTCTTTAACTCGCCCACTCAGTTCCCTTTATAAAGAAAGAGCACACTGCTTAATTACAAAGAATTTATTTGCAAATGATAACTTGCTTGATTGTTACAACACTGTTGTTTGGTCATGTTCCAGTAATTGTTATAGATCGTTTCTTTTAACAGATACAAGCAAACCGGGCTTGGTTGGCTTGTCTGTCTGGCCATCCAGGAAGTTTAAATTGCAGTCAGTTTAAAGTAGTGCACACCATCCTTTAGACTCAATGTGCATGTTCCTCTTCAATCTAAACTAAAAGTTTTGTTCCTAACCCTTGGCCCTTCATCCCAGAAAAAAAAAAATAGGACTAACCTCACCATAATAGCATTTAGATATCTTTAGAGCCTAAAGATTATTCAGTATATAAACCACATTTTAAAAATTGTGCCAATGGCTTTTTTGAAAGATTTTTTTTTTGAAGAAGCAAGCTTGGGTCTCTAGCCATTTTATAAATAGAAATATTTTCAGAATAAAAGTAAATTTGACTAGAAAAAAAACGATACCAATGGAAGTGTCACCTAGAATTCTGTCCTTTGATGAGTATACCTTGGAGTCCTGTCCGTTATATTAAAGGAATTTGGTTTGTAGTGGAAGTAGAACCAGCTGACGCATTTGTCATAGAACAGCAGGCTTGTCTAGGCAGTGAGAGTGGCATGATTTTTCTTCCTTGAAACTGAGAGACCAGGTCTGATACAACTTTGTTTCGGCTTAAGTAGCATCATTGCTCTTAGCAGTGGGAGCATATGGACGCTCCTGGTCCTCCGGCTGCTGCGTCTTTTCACAAAGACGACACTGCTTTGGTGAACTGGGGAGGCTTCCTGTCTCAAGAGCAAGCCTTTGAGGTTTTTTTTTTTTGTTTTCTCCTCCTTTTATGTGGATGGCATTCTTCCAGGTTCATTGCTGGGTTATTCATCTGTCTGTTGTATGTGGAGATGTCCTGTTAGGTGGCTGTTACAGCACCCGTCTGTGGGAGCCCCTGGGCTCCAGTTCTCAGGGAGAATGGCTGTGCAGTGCAGGCCAGCAGAAGTCAGCAGGCTCATTTTTCAGAACAGGGATGATGTTTTTTGAGGGAAGGCATCTTCTAATGTTTTATCTTTAATTCTTGAGTTCCTGAAAAGCAGGGACATTCATTTTAGTAGTACTTACAGCATAGTATTAACTGTAGTGTTTAACACCACAAAATACTTATCTCTTAAAGGTGTTTCCTGCTTTTCTCAGTTCTTGGAAAAACCATTATGGTGGTGGTGGGGTGTGTACATGCATGTGTATGCTCAAGAGTTGATGCTTGAAAATTAATGTGTGGGAAAAGAAAGAGAAGGGTGGTGTTGCTCCATCTCAATAGATGTGACAGAATGAGGAGGCCAGGAAGCTTTGGGAAAATTGCTTCTGTTTCACATGAAAGTAGGGGGAAAGTTTGTGGCAGGGTTTTTGATTAGGTGTGTGCTTGTAGTTAAATGAGCAAGCGTTTAGGTATGTTATGGTTCTGTACCATCAAGTCGGAAATGAATCCTATACCTGACCTTCTAGTGGGTTTTCCAAGGCTGTAAACGGCACAGGAGAAGATTGTCCATCTTTTTCTTGCAGTTGATGGATTCGACCTACATGCCTTTGCGTTCATTGACAGCCCATCTCCTTACCAGTAGGCCATTAGAGCTCCTCCCACTCTTTAGGCTTAGGAAAACTTTTTCTATAAAGTATCTGAAAGTAAATAGTCTAGGCTCGGCAGGCCGTACAGCCTCTGCCTCAATGACTCTGCAAAAGCACTCATAGACAATACATAAACAAATGATCTTGACTCTGTTCCAACAAAATCTTATTTACAAAGGCAGATGGCAGCTCAGATTTAGTCTGCAAACCTTAGTTTGTTAACCCTTGCACTAGAATTCAAAGTGACTTGTTTTGCTGAACTTTAACAGAGAAAAACTTTAATAAAAGGCTTTCCCCCTCTACCCCTAAGGGCAGAAAAAGAAGATTAGTGCAATTGTTTCAGTCCCCTTTACTTCAAATTGTAATTTCTTAAATGGTGGTTATTTGTCATAGAAATAGTAGAATTCTGTTTATTGTTGTAGAGAGCTCTCATGACCTCCTCTATAGGGAGCCTGCTGCAAACCCAAAGGTGGTGCTTTCTCCCCGCCACTTCTCAGGAGGAAGATGGACAATCTCCCTCACGTGATTCACGGCCTTGGAACCTTGCTAGAGAGTCAGCTGTGTAGTGGTTCTGACTGTATAGCAATGGATGAACGAATAAGTTTATTACTGCAGTTACTTGAAGGAGTTGAAGATTTGTGTACTATCCAGTCCTGTAAGTGGAATTTCATTCTTTCCTTCAAAGGTCTACTTCCATACTGGAAAAGCTGCATGGATCAGCTGTTTGAACAAGGACAAGTCCAGGGCTTAACTGGTTGGTTTTAATTTAGCATTCCTGTGGTGGTTCAGAGTGCGGGCTTTGGTGTCAGGCTGCCCAGGTTGAAATCTCAGCTCCACCAGGTGATTGCTGTGCACTGCTAGATGAGTTACATAACTTCTCTTGATCTAAATATCCTCATGTGTTAAAGCAGGAGTAATAATAGTGTTTTTCTTACCAGTTGCTACAAGGCAGTTAAATAATGTAAGTAAAAATGTGTAGTGACTGACATGTACTGAAGTGCTCACTAAGTGTTGGTTGTTACTAGTAATAAAAGTTTTTCCAGTGTCAACAACTTGTTGTGGAGCTTTGCTTGATATTATGCTTGTAGATGGTATCTCTGGTGGCCTAATGGTAAGGAGTTGCACTGCCAAACCCAAAGGCAGGAGGTTCAAATCCACCAGCAGCTCAGAGAGAGAAAGATGTCTCGTGTGATTTTACAGCATTTGAAAACCTGCTGGAGGGTCAGCTGTGAGTTGGTTCTGACCCAGTGGCACATAACAGTAACAAGCTTCCAGAAAAAGATACTAAGTCTTTTCCTCTTGTGTTGTTCTCCCCTTAGATAATTTTACGAATTTTTACTTATTAATAAATTACACTAATCACTTTTATAAAATTGTGCCTAGAGTAGGTATTCCTGCTTACTGGGGACAGATCTGCAGCATCGATGATAATGACACTTAATAGGAGGATATCCATGGGAGGATGCTGTGGCATTAGTGCCCTGCTCTGAGGACCGGCCTGTGAACGCATCTGCCATGACTTGCTTTTCACTCAAATATCTGAAAGGTTTTCATCCTTCTATGTTTTCTGTCTCTGGCAGCTGAACCAGTGCTGTCACATCACAAACAACTTCTTTTCTTAATATACACATCTGGCGCTGGCAGTTGGACTCACTTCATAAGAGCACATGATCATCACTCATTACAAGATTAAAAAGTACCCCATGGCATCATTGATGTTTTTTAACTTTGATCTTTTGCAGTTGTGATTCATCTCAGTTATAAAACTTCCCTTTAAAGGAACATAGCCGATGACTTATTAGGACCTTCATCTTAAGTAGTGTAAACATGAAAACGGTGCACATCTTTACAAAAATGCCATTTATTTTCTTTGCCAGCTTATCATTTTAAGACGTGACATCATACTTAAGATCCCAAATTTGTATGCCTTGTGTTTAGGCAAGGCATTTTGACCTTCTGTTGGCAAATTAGCTCTTCAGAGCGACTGCCGTATGTTCACCAGCAGGAGAAGTCAGTGCTCCCGACGCTGCAGCAACAGTAACGCTTAGCTCTTCTAACCATGAGCTTCTATTAGGATCTTTTATTCCATGTATGCACTTGGTTCCAATGCTTGTGCAATGCAAAGAATTTCTATGGAAGGTGAAAAGCTGGTTAGTGAGGTCATATGTTTGAGTCATGTTTCTGATTTAAGGAGGAGAGTAATAGAAAATGGTACCATCAGCTGTGAAAGAGAGAGAGAGAGAGAGAGAGAGAGAGAAAAGGTCACCTTACTCACACTGCACTGCAGTCCCGAAGGCATATGGTTTGGATCCACCAGCTAGCTGCTCCATGGGAGAAGGACAGGCAGTCTCCTCCAGGGCGAGTTACTGCCTCTGAAAACCTGCTGGAGGGTCAGCTATGGGTCATTTCTGACTCGATGGCAAACAGCAGCAGTCACCACAAACTGAAATCATTACCACTGAGTTGATTTCGGCTTATGATGACCCTGTAGCATTGAGGAGGATGGCCTGTGGAATTTCCACGGCTGAGATATGTAATGTGAAACAGATTGCTACATCTTTCTCCTCTCCAGTGGCTGGTGAGTTCAAACCACTGACCTTTCGATTATAGCCAGGTTTACCACTGAACTACCAGGCTTCTAAAGTCACCTTCTATGTAGTCAGATTTCTTTTCATTATCTTACTGCTTTTTTCAG